TTTTTTTTTTTTTTTTTTTTTCCTTCGTCCTAGCGGAGACCGAAAACAAACCTTGTCTGCGAGTAAACAACCGTGTGTGATCAGCGGAAAGGTCGGAGAGAGGAAAAAAAAAAAAAATATTGCCGAGGCGGCGGCGGGCGGGGACCCCTCGCCGCGTCTCCCGAAACCATAAGTTAAAGCCCGGCGGGCAGTCCCGCGGCCGGGCAGTCCCGGGGCCGGGCAGTCCCGTGGCCGCAGCCCGCGGTCAGAGGTCGTGGCAGGCCGTGTCCGTTTTCACGCCGTGCGAGTACACGTCGTGCTGCGGCTGCTCGCCCGGCGGGGTCATGCGCTTCTCCTTCTGCCGCCGGTTGCAGAACCAGACCCGCACCACCTCCTTCTCCAGCTGCAGGCTGTCCGCCAGCGAGGAGATCTCCTGGGCGGCCGGCTTGGGGCACTTGAGGAAGTGCGTCTCCAGCACGCCCTTGACACTCACCTCGATGGAGGTCCGCTTCTTCCTCTTCCTCCCCTGCGCCGCGATCTTGTCGATGCTCGTGGGGCTGCCGGTGGAGGAGTCGGCCTCCTCCAGCCACTTGTTCAGCAGCGGCTTCAGCTTGCACATGTTCTTGAAGCTCAGCTGCAGGGCCTCGAAGCGGCAGATGGTGGTCTGCGAGAAGACGTTCCCGTACAGGGTGCCCAGCGCCAGCCCCACGTCGGCCTGGGTGAAGCCCAGCTTGATGCGGCGCTGCTTGAACTGCTTGGCGAACTGCTCCAGCTCGTCCGAGGTCGGCGTCTCCTCGTCCGAGTGGTCCTGGCAGTGGTGGCCGCCCAGCTCGCCGTGCTCGCCGCCGGCCTCGCCGCGCAGCCCCGGGTGCAAGCCCTGGCCGGCGGCGGCGGCGGGCGGCGGGGTGAGCCCGCCGTGCTCCAGCATGCCGCCCACCGCGAACCCGCCCTGCGAGTACACGCTCAGGGGCTGCCCGGCGGCGGCGGCGGCGGCGGCGGCGGGGGGGGCGGCCAGCGAGGCGCTGTGCGCCGGGCTGGCGCCCCAGGCGCTGGGGTGGTTGGCGTGGGGCGAGTGATGGGAGACGTGGGGCGAGCGGTGGTGGATGATGGCGCCCAGCTGCAGGTCCTCGCGGCCCGGCTTCACGTCGGGCTGCTCCAGCGGGCCGCCCGCCAGCGCCGCGGGCCAGGGCGCGCCGTCGCTCAGGCTGGTCACCCAGTGATGCCCCAGCGGGTGCCCATTGCCGGGGACGCCCTGCAGGTACTCGCTCTGCAGCAGCTTCTGCGGGCTGCGGAACGGGCTGCCCTGCTGCATGCCCGCGCCCTCGGCGTGGGCGAGCGCGCCGGCGCCCAGCAGGCCGTAGGGGTTGGAGGCGGCTGTGGCCATGGCCGCGGCAGCCCCACGAGTTATACTGTGCCGCCGCCGCCGCGCCAGCCTTTGACATCCACCGGCACGGCGGCCCGGCGGCGGCCGCGCCATGACTGGCACCCGCGCCGGCCAATGGGAGCGCGCCGCCGGCCGAGCCCACCAATGGGCGCGGTGCGTGGGCGGGGCGAGCCCCCGTGGGGCGGGGCGTCGTGGCCGCGCGGGCGCGAGGCAGGAAGTGAATCACTCCGCCGGCACCGGGGGCCGGGCGCGAGGCGGCCCCGCCGCTTAACTCCTTCCTCGCCGGGCGGGGAGCGGCGGGGCCCGAGGAGGGGAGGGGGGGGGGTACGGCTTAAATGGGGAGCGCCTGGGAACGGGGGGGCGCGGGGGGCACGGCTTAAATGGGGAGCGATTAGCGGCGGGCAGAGGTCAAACGGCGGCGCCCCGGCGGCAGCCCCGCGGGACCACCCCGGTGCGGCGCTGCCCCCGCCCGCCGGCCCGGCCGCGCTCCGGGTGCGCGGCGCCCGCTCCGCTCTTCCCCCGGTGCGCCTGTCCCGAGCCGCGCGTCCTCGCCTGCCCCGGGCCGAGCGGCGCTCGGTCGGCAGGGAAAAACAGAAAAAATCGAGAAAAGCCCCAAATAATAAAAAACAGCCTCAAAAGAATGAGCTTCCCGGCCTCACCGCCGGTAAACCCCCGGTGGATGCTTCCCAAAGTTCGCCGGTGCGCGCCTGGCGGGCGGGCTGCAGGGCAAAACCGGGGAGAAAAAAAAAAGGGAAAAAGAGAGGGGGGAAAAAAAAAAACCGTGTGAAAAAGGGAAAAGAATGAGAGAAAAGGAGCGTGCGGTCCCCGGGACCCCCCCGCGGGAGGAGCGGGGGGAGCGCGGAGCCCCCCGGCTCGGCCGGGCCCGGCGGGCAGAGCCCCGCACCCGCGGAGCCCCGGCGGGGCGGGCACAGGCGCAGCCCCGGGACCCCCGACCCGCTCCCGAGTTCCAAAATGACCTTTCCCTGCATCGTTTTGGAGGTAACCGAGCTGCGTAATTATATTTGCACTTCCAGAAGACTGCATCAGAGTCCCCTTATTGGTTTGAAATTCCATTAAATATATTGCAAGAGCTCCTAGGTTAAGCTTGATTTAAATTTGCATACATTTTCATATATTTAGCAGAAATAAAAGAAGGCTTGCAGCTACCAGAAAGTCATTAAGGCATTAGTTTCTCTGAGAAGACAGATCTGAAGAAAATTCAAGAAAATGAGAAAATAGATCTAAATAAGGTGAGCGCTCCTCTGGTTCCTTCCGAGCCGGGTCCCATCGCTTTCCTCATTATAATAATAATAATCACAATAATTTCTCGCCGGGGCAGCGTGTGAGAGGGGTAAAGGCAGGGCTGGGTGGTGAGGAGCAGAGCGGGCTGGGGCAAATCGCGATATATCGGGGACTCTGCGTGTCCCCGCCGGTGCAGCGCTGCGCTGCGCACCCGCGGGGGTGCGGGGAGGGGAAGGGGGGGGTGTGGTGCGACTCGGAAAATAAATCAAAAATAAGGAAAAAGTAAATAGAAAAAAATGAAGTTTGCGGGTAGAGGGGCGGCGGTGGGAGGTGTGCGGCGGGGGGGTCAGCGGGAGGGTCGGGACATGGGGATGTCCCCGCTGGAGCCGCGGTCCCGGCGCGGGGCTGTGCGGGCGGTGCGGGGCGCGCAGCTCCGCGGCCGAGCCCGCCCGAGCGCGGGGAGGGCAGGGAAGGAGTTATAGCAGCAGCAGCTTCTTCCTCGTTGTTTTTTTTAGCCTTTCCTTTTT